TATAAAGGTGAGTCATGCCAATTTATGTTTGTATCGAAGAAGTAGCCCTTCGTGTTACTCGGTACTCCAAAAGTAGCTGTCAGTCTCAAAACGTTTGGTGACCCCTGCTGTAGATTCATCAGTTCAGTACAAACTAAAGTCTAAATCAAAGAAAATGTCTTTGTTCACATGTTTATTAGACATTACTCTGACATGACTCTGACTTACTTCTGTTGTTGTTTCAGGAGAAAACAAAGATTTACCCAGCAGTCCCTGCAGAGCAGAGACGACCAATCAGAGTCCTTTCCCTGTTTGATGGCATTGGAACGGGTGAGTTTTGTAAGAAAACTACAGTGTGACCCTGCTACAAAGCCAACTTGGCTTTTTGAATTTAATATTGATCAAAGCTTGCGAGTAGAAAATGTCTTCCGACCTAAGAATTGGATCTGCAACTTGTGCTGTTTGACCAGGCCTCAGAATGTGTCGTACACACTTCTCCAACACTTGGTGAAGATGTGGTATCATATCTTTGTTCCACAAGAAAACATAACTTTACACTTATCATAAAAAGACATTGACACTTGCTAAAATGTGTTTTTCAAGTATAATTGGAAAACTTGCAAAGTTGGTGAGGTTGTAGGAGTTTAATTGTCCAGCTGACGTGTTTTTAGGATTGTAAGAAGGCCGGTGATTGAGTTCCCTGAGGTGTTTTGTAGACAGGAGCATGGGGAGCTGGGGTCACTTTTCAGGACTGTCCAGTCTCTGTATAAACAAAGCAAGACTTCTGTGGATATTTTCTTCATAAATTGAAGTTTGGTCCAGGTGCTTGTTGGACGCTTCCTTGGCTGCTTACTGTCTCTAATCTTATTCATGGTGGTCATGGACAGGATCTTAGGGGGCAGTCCCAGAGACACAGAGATGATGGTGTCTGCTTTGGGAACCTCAGGGTTTTGTTGCTCCTTTTTGCAGATGATGTAGTTGTGTTTGTGCCTTCAATGGGGCAGTGAAGTGCCCGGGATGAGAGTCATCTCCTATAAGACTGAGGTCATGGTTGTCAGCCAGTACAGGTGGAATGCTTCCTCTACATGAGAGGTGAGGCTTTGCCAAAATAACCAGATCTTAGATACAAGTGATAGATGGACGGCTTCTGTTGGGTGTTCTTGGCCTTAGGGTAAGGCTGCTGTAACTATTTGATAATGTGTCAACATCACTATTTTTGCTGGGCACATCATTTTAATGACTTTATCTTTTAAACTCTTGTAAACTGAAATAATAACAGTTTTCTCCACCTGCACACATCAGATGAGCTTGGTCGGCTACACCTGAGCCAGAAACTTTAACTTACAAGGTAAATGAAGCAGAGTCTCTGGCTGTGACCCAGAGGCTAGATTAAACAACTTTAAATAGTTTCCAAATGCCAAGGGGGTCTAAAGTAGGGTAGAGCACTTCCTTGGCTAACTACATCTATAAAAAGTGTCAAACATAAGAACCGATGACCTGCCAGGTTATAAAACACTATTAGTTTTCAGCTGCTAAGTGAACTCTGTGAAGTCTGACAAGTTGTCTGTCTGCAACATTTTAAAGGGATCTCCGATTAGTTGTAACATAAGACTTTATTTAATAAACATATATTTTAACTGTAAAATAAACTGTAAAAATACTGTAGGATGTTTAGTTTTGAAACTAAAAGTTTAAAATGTATTACACGGATGGAGCCATTTTATTTACATGCAAAGCATTCTGGGTAAATGATGACATGGGTAGGTCATTGGTGC